AATAGAGGGTCGCCGGGGAAAATGGTCAAAGAAGAGGGATGTAGTTGAATAGGTGGAATTTCAGGGTATATGACTGCTACCAAACAGCTGCTTTCCCAGACCTAACCCTTTTATCTGCATCTACCTCTATGCACCCCTCAAAGGCTCAGGCTTCTCCACCCCCTCCTTTTTCACTTAAAAGCACAGCTGAGTGTTGAATATCTCATCAGCTGATTAATTAAACTGTATATTTTGTTATAACCATGCTGTCATATTTTTCAAACAATAGAATCATGATGTGGGTACGATTTATTTTCAATCTTCTCATCTTTTCTAAAGTTCATACCACATAAAACATGGCACGTATGCTATCATTTATTACTTTTCCTAAAAACCTGACATAATATACAAGAAACTCGGAGGTCAGTTCAGAGTTCGACTAATGAATTTAATGTTGAATGCTAAGCTATTAATGGTCACGAAAGAAATGATTCGTTTGAAAATTTTATTCTCTGTTGATGTAAAAGTAAAAACAGAAGGGGCTCCCTGACTGGCCGAAGGCAAGAAATTGATATGAAAAGAACCATTTCTCAAGAAACCATTTTGATTATCTATCATGTTAGGAATGTCCTGATAGTTGCGGAAAGTAAAAAATGCAATGATGAATTGATATCTTAAAAACAAAAGAACAGGAACCAAAACTTTAAATGGGCAATGATTAAAGTAAAATGGGAAGAACATGGTTACACAAGGTGGTGAGTCAGCATGGACGAGGCTGCCCCTAACATAGATATGCGTGCGTGGTGTGGGATAGTGTACGTACGGGTAATTAGCAGTACTAATTCATGATGCAACCATTTCTTCATATAATCATCATCTATTTTTCACCTGCAATCAATAATTCTGCAATTTAGCAACACAGAGGGAAAAGAGGCATTTAAAAAGGAAAACGTAGAGGGGGATGGATGACTCAGACTGAAAGGAAGGTAACGAGCAAAAGTGAATGGGACCATGAAGTTGTACGACTGAGTTCACGGACGAATCGCTGCGGTTAAAAATGAAGGTTCATTTCTGGTGTTCAGCAGCATGCATGGTGATTTCTTTTCACAAAAACAGAATAAAGCTATATGGATCCATCTTAAAAAGCACAATGCTCTTTTCTTTCAAAGACGCTAATTAATATTGTATATTCCTAGTGGGGCAGTGTTGTTTGACAGCAAATTCATTAGCTTCATTATATACACTGGCCAAGTTTTAACAACCAGCTTATTCATGGTTATATCAAAGATTGTGGCCATTCACTTTTCAAATAATTTGAATACCTCGTCTGTGTCAGGCCTTTTCAATCCTGTCATTATATGTAAAGGGAAAGGAAAAAAAAATCATCGAATCTGAGATGATATCGCAGTCATAATAATGCCAAAGCAGCATCTAAACCATGGGTCGATCAGCTAGCTCATATTATATAGTGTCCAACGTAATAGAGTGTGGGCGCAGTAGTCTCATTTGCACGGAAAGCTGTTTAATTATTGTGAGTAGCATGCATTCATAGTGAATCCAGCTTCATCTTTTCCAATCCAAGCTTCCCTCTGCAGTAAAAGGGATGAATAATATTTATATATGCTCTGATTAACAGATAAAATAACTTGACACCTTTTTTTTTTTTATTATAATTTATGTGCGAGATGGCTGATATATATATATACCAGGGACCAGAGGTAGCGAGATTCAAGAGGGCTGATGATTGCGCGATGATGTCCTTGGCTATTTGCAGAATCCTTTTTTTGGGGTGGGACCCAGATCCCTTCTTCCTTTGCTATCTTGATTAATATTTTATAGTAATTGGGCTACAATGTCAGAATTCACATGAACCACAGAAGAGAAGGGCTTTCTGAACGTACGTTCTGCATCATATCGCGAAGAAGCTCGGGGTTTTTTTGTTTTAGAAGATTCCGACTCCAACCCCCACCCCAACCCCCTCTTTTTGTTTTATCTTCTTGTTCTCTTGCACGCCCTCTTCACTTTCCATAGATTCCAATCCCTCTCCCGCTCTCCCTCTCTCTCGCACGCATTGTTCCAAACCAACTGCCAGAGGAAGAGGCTTAATTTAAAGCAAAGTGTTTGTTGTACATGTTCTACCCACGCCCGGACATTGGGACGGATCCAGGTGTTACGCTGCGGCTGAATTCCTAAGCAAACGAAAAGAAACATGCAAAACAAAACAAAGAATAAAGAGGAAAAGGAAAAATGCCCCGGCAAAGCTATCAATGTAGAAAGGTCATGACTCCACGAGAGTAAAGCAACAGGAGGAGTGAGTCGCTGGAAAAATAAAGATAATCGCCCTCCCAAAAACAGCAAATTGCTTTGTGAAAAAGAACGCGAGACACTAATAATTGCAGCAAACAAAGTGAATGTTGAATATACCCTGATCTCTTTATATAAATATATCTTTGTTGGTCCACCAGGGACATTATTCTACTTCTTTCGAGATCAATGACACAGTTCGTGATGCGCTTTTTTTTCCCTCAGCATGCTCATCGACGACTAAAATTATTCCCTTTTCCTCTGTAAATTGGGGAGAATGATCTAGTGTATAATTGAGCAAAAAGGATGATGGAAAAGACGACCAAAAGACTAGGGCTGGCCCAGATATATTCCTTACCTCTCTCTCTCTCTGTGCGATTTTATGATTTCATCTGAGGAACACAGCCCATACGTGATTGGGCCCGACTCCCTTCTTTTCTCTCTGTCCAACTCTTTAGCACTTTTGTACCTCAAATTAATTATTTGGAACTTAAAGAGAATTTTCTGCAGGAACACAGGGTGGTCAAAATATTATATATATATATATATATATATATGCAACATTCATTGTCCCTAGAAAAAAAGTTACTTGCATCTGTAGCCACATTTTCCCCCCTGGATATCACACAAGCTGACAAAATCTCACTGTTGGACACAGTAAAGGTGTAAGCTTTTTCACGTAAAAAGTTGTCATCATAGGACTGTCCTCCTTACTCTATGGGGTCAATGACTCATTGGCCCTGTACCAGCAGCGCCTCAAAGCCGAGGCTTGAGGCTCTTATGCAAATTTTACATCATCAATTCATCATCGTCGTTTATACAGTAATGTCAACAGCTTTCGTACCTGATGTTTCTCATCAATCAAAATGAAATCATAGCTCTATCATTTTAGTTATACCCAAAACATACGGATGTCGACCTAAAAGCCAGGATTTTAGATTGACAAGAACATGTACATGTACTCCTCCCCGTTATTTTGGACGCAAACAAATAGGGTAGTTCTGGTCAAAAAAAACAAATAGGGGTAGTTATGAGATGGTATTATTTGTGTTGTTAATGTCACGGTTAGTTTGACTAATTTTAAAATTAAAAAAATTAGTTAATTTAATTATTTGTAATAAATAAGTATTCTTTTTTTCCTAAGATATTCTTATTAATTATGTATATTAACTAGAACTACCATTTTATAAACCTTTAATATATGCAACTATTATAAGAACTGTTTTAAGAAAAATAGATAAATAGAAAAAATAAAGTGGATTGAAGTCTAATATTTATGACCAAATTGAATATTAAACTAGTTTTTATATTAAGAACAAGAAGTAGTATCTACTAAAAAATTTAAAAAATTCAAACGTTTTAATTTAAATTAAAAACGATGTACATATTATTCACCTTTGTAATTTATGCAATTTCATGATTATAAGGGCCAAAATAAAATATTTAATTTTTTGAATAAATACTTTATAATTAATTTGAATTTTTTTTCCCTTCCATTTTTGAAAGATACTTTATATAACGGACCGAAATCAGCAAATTGGATTTCAATTGAGAGAGCTACTTTTAAATAATTCAACAATATCGGAATATAAACTGATAATATTAAATATAAGATAATTACATATTAAAAGGTGGTTTTTTTGGCGGGCTTCTCCTTCATCGGTGGGAGATCCTTGCGGTAGTGTCTTGGAAGGCAACGCAAGGACATTGGTTTGCTTTGATCAGTGTTCAATGTTCACGAGGGTCAAAATTCAATTTTTTTTAACCCCGAGAAAGCATTTTATATCTCTAAAAATGAAAAATTATAATTTTATAAAATATCAAATCTTAACAATTTATTTTTTTTTAATCTAATGGTGGGCATTGGATAAGGAAAAGTAAAAAAAAAAAAATCCTTTGGCTAATTAATCCCTACATGTTTTCTCATGCCTTTTTTTAGGCTAAAAAAAGGAAGAGAAAGTCGACAACGTTTATGATTTTTAAAACCTCTCTTCTCTCCATCTCTGCCAACCTTAACCAAGGTCTTGTTTGGTTGTGTATTTATCTAAGCCTTGCTACGCTTAAAACATGGTGTATTTTTATTGTTGTTTTGTTTTTGCTTTCTTAACTCAAGAATGCGGTCTCTGTCCTTGTGATTCTGTGAAATGAGCATGGAATTTCAGATCATGTGAGAATAACATCACGAATAGATTCAAAAGGGAGGGGAAAAAAAAAAAAAAGACAACATCATGAACTATACTAAGAAGTTTTTTCCGTATTTCTTGTTGGCAGACGTGAAAGTAAACTTGGAGACTTACAAGCAGGATATTTTTAGACCAGACGCGTTCCACTTTTTCCGGCCACAGTGTATAAAATCAATTGAATAATTCTAAAAAATTAAAAAAAAAACTTAATTATAACATATGTTATGTAATCTCTTTAAAACACTTTTATGTATAATTAGATTGTATACTACTATCTTTAGTCTTACAAACGAGATCTTATAAATAAGAATAGAGTAGTAGTTTATAAGTAGAATAAATTAGTTTGGAGAAAACTGATAAGTATAATATTTTAAAACAATTTATTTAACTTTTTTAATATTTTAAAATTAATCAACTGGGTCTTATAGTAGGGGTGTGTGTGTTATATATTTCATTTTTCAGAAAATATACAATTTAGAAAGATAATTTACAACACCAATGAATGCATTCCATAACTGGAGGGAGGAAAGAAAATGAGGAAAAAGAAGATACCCACAGGGCCTTTTATTGAGGGGAGAAAGGTCCAGTCCACTGTGATTGAACACAGCGCTGTCATTGTTCACGAGAAAGAACATACATCTATTCTTTGATGACAGAAATTTAAGGTCATAGTTACTTACTTACACGAAATGGCATAGCAGCAACTTGCAGTCTTTAACAGAAGCAGGCTGGAAGAGAAGACTTGCAGGGGAAAAATGAAGTGTAGCTTTCAACTGTGGAGGTAGGTGGGTATAGGTACACCGGACTGCTCAGTCAACTTTTTGTAAGCACCCTGCAATCTCTTAGTCACTGGCCCCACTTCTCCATTGCCAATTATGCGACCATCAACCTTCACAACCTGGACCAATTGGCGTCAATCATCAGATTTTTGTGTTCATGGTATGTTGATAAATGTAAACAGCAAATGGCATGAACCCCGAGGAGCCAAATGGGCCACTAATAATATGTAAATATGGCAAACTTCATTCAGGCAAATTTCAATCTATCAAATATAACGCACTACTTACTGGGCTGAGTTCTCCCATTGTTCCTGTTGTCCATATCTGCAAGAAAGCCTCCCAGTTATAACTCAGCTCAAATTTAATTGAAGCAAGGAAAAGGAAAAGGATCTCAATTCCTTTCAGGTTCGTAGGTCTTAAAAGAGCACTAGGACTATCATGCTTAGCCTATCCTCACATAATCAAGCAATGGAACTAAAATAACTAAATTCAAGTACAGAATTGGATCAAACTTCTATTTTGCTAGGTATCAGTAGGTAGGCCACCAAAGTTCAGTGAGAAATCAAGAAAATTACAAATTTCCTATTTGATCCCCAACCAGTGGCTATATACCGTCACCACAACAAGAAATAATTAGAGCAGTGGACATGTCAAAAGAGAAATAGACATGAACCTCATCTGCGGTATGAACTTCAGATAGACTAATTCTCCTCTCCTCCAATACTAACTCCTGCATCACTACAAGGTCCATCACCTGAAATTAGTAAACAGCTTAATCTCATTAATTGCAGAATACGCTTTACTTCAGTCAGGTCTCAGTCATCCATGTCAAGCAGCTGTTATAAACCTAGTCTCTACAACTTACAGTTGCTCGTGTAACACCAGGCAGACAGTAATCAGCATGTGGTGTCAAAACACGGCCCTTTTTAACTATGAACTGCAAGAAGACCAAAATATTAGCCCAATTGTTACCAACCAATACTTGCAATCCATTTTCTTCTGTTCTAGAAATCCCTGCCAAAGAAGGGAAAATAGAAGACAACAGCATATGATCCTTCTTAAATAATAAAACAAGGGGAGTTGTCACTTTTGCGACTGCACATTCAAGATTAACCTACACTATATTTATTATACTGTCTTCATGTAGGAAGACTCTCGGTTCTAGAAATCCTTATCGAAAAAGTGAAAAAAGAAAACACAAAACAAGAATACATGATCCTTGAATTATGAGAAGCGGGGATCTGTTACCCTCTGAGACCGCAAATTAAAGATGAAGTCACCTTGTATTATTGTACTGTAGCATCTGTAGGATGATTATCTTACATTTGTAGGCATTGGGGTGTACTGCTAGGTTTGCTTACTAAGATAGGACTTTAACGGTTGCATGATGACAATAATTAAGGTTGTAACAAAGGGGCCTAAGATGTCGAGTTTTATGTCTTGTTTTGTATGGTTGACCTATAAGTACATGTTTCTAAATATACTGACTTCATTTCCCAGAGAGGCTTTTCCTTTCATCTTCTCCCATTTCACAGAATTCTTAAGCCTTGTAAGCTGTAGCATATAATGACCAGAATGGTTTAAAAAAAAAAAAAATCTGCCAGGTAAGACGAAGTTGAGGACATACAATGTTAGTTGCATTGGTTTCAGACACATAACCATCTTTGTCGAGCATGATTGCATCATTTGCATTTGCATTATTCCCTTCAATCTGCACCAACATTTTTGACAATTGTGATGTCCATCAGAAATATCCATAAGAATGACCCTTAAGCCTGACAAGAAGTTCTGAAACAGTGCATTTTATCATGCTAGTATTTGTGAATCAAATTACCCCCACGTGGTAGTAAATCTTCGACGTGTCTTTTGCAAATGCCAAATCACATACGTCACTCAAACAAGGATAAGTACCAAGATATTGTCTCAGCAACCATCCTCGTTCCAGTAGCAGACCATCCCGAAATAACAACAATAATACCGATTCTAAATATAAGACTCATTTTGCAGTGTAATTTACACTACAAAATGCGTCTTACATTTAGAATTGGAGGAGCATTTGTATAATTACAGAATAGGAAATATTTCCAAGGAGAAAAACAAAATACCTTCGCAAGTATGTTATTAAGGAGGTTATTGTGATGAATCTTTGAATCTAGATTCTGATCAGAAAACAAAAAAGGGAGAGAAGACAAAGTCAACTGGATGCACTAAAGCAGTATGCCGATGGTTCACATTCTATAACAATATCACATTGTAGTAACAAGAAATAATTTCAACAGAATTTCGTTCAATTGAAATAATACCAACTATTGTCAGACATAATGGCCAGACACAACTTTGATTAAGGAGATTTGGATGAAAAACAATTTTACTGTTATCTGCCAGGATACACAAGGCACTTTCTACTGTTCACAAAATCAGGTAGAAACAATTAAGATGAACTTTTCTTTCATAACTAGTATAAAAATTAGAAGCTTACATTTGGTGAATTTCGACGAGTTGTAGCAGTCACTAGTACTATACCATGGGTATTATCATAAACAGGGGGCTTCCATTCAGCAAGCACTGCACATGTGAAAAACACAAGTGTAGGAAAAGGATAATCGTGGCGACTGGAATGAAAGTAATCTTGTCAGTTCCATTGAAAATTTTCAAATTGATTCAGAAAATCTCTTTCCGTATTATAAAGATAATCATAGAATATCATCGTTATACAGTGTGGGGAAAGGAACTTACCAATTAATGTGCATCCATAACGATTGAATGCTGGGCTCATTCCAGATGTAACCTGGAGAAGAAAATAATATAATTTTGCATCACTTCAAAGGAAGGTTGGACCTAAGGGTTACATAAGATTAATGGCTTTATAAATTGGGTCACCAATTAAAAAGACAAAGACTATCGTTCGGCTTATCACACCCGGTTTATCCATAACCCATCAAATCATTTAAAAAAATAAAAATAAAAGGAAACTTGAAGTACAGGGGTTAACATCTCCTCAGTCTTATCTAATATTTCATTCAGATCCTAACCTGCCTTTGGAAATTAAATTTTGCGAGAGAGTAAGTACAACCTTTTTTCCTCTTGTCAGAGAAAGCCGAATGTGCGAGTTGTCAAACATCCCATTCCTAATTAGTGTTCTGAAGATTGCTTCCTTAATCTGCAATTTATTTTTGCAACCACACATTACAGTGAACTTAACAAGATCCAGTACCATAACACGGCATAGTAAGACAAGGGTGGGACCACAATTCAAGATATATTTTTTCTGAACAAACTCACCTCATCTCGGGTTGGAACATTTTCAAAAGCCAAAGCTTTTGCTGAATCAAACATCCTGATGTTAATCATGGCATGTCAGATCAACAACAGTGATGAAGACCAAATGTTTTCAAATGACTAAAGTTTCACCACTAAAGTATAACTTAGCAAGCATGGAATATAGTATCTTCTGCTAAGAAACCATCTCCAAATGCCAGTGCTAGCAAATAGCGCTCGTACTAATAACTTTCTTGCAGTTAATGATTTACCCATATTCATTCCATATATAATGTTATGCTAATTATTTCAGTTTATGCATGTTTAAATAATCACTTAACCAGATTTTGAAACATGAATAAAATGTCAGCATCAGGAATTAACTTACTAATTTATCACTAACACTACCTGTCTAGATGTTCCTCAAGCTTAAAAATCTTTCCATTGTACACCCGAAGACCCTCCCAAACTGAATCGCCGCCTTGAACAACTGAATCAAAAACAGAGACCTGATAGATGACCGGGCAAATAGTAAAATAATTAGAATGTGTGCAAAAATCATACAAATTAGATCCTTTATCTTATTTGCTGACAAGAGACATTAAGGCGTCAATCAAACCTTTGCACTCTCACGTGGCACAATCTCATCACCAACCCAAGCAAGAAGTTTCTCATTTGCAGGAACTGGAAGATCAGGTGGAGGGAAAGGAGGGCTCAGGAGGGATGACTTCTTCTTCACATGGCGTCGAAGCATATTGTAGAGGGGTAGACTTTGCTCCAGCAAATCGTAGAAAGAAAAGGGAAATGGCTACAAAGAAGATAAAGTATACAGAATTTTTGTCAAAATACCTTCCTATGTAAAAAGAAAAATGTCCTGCCTTCTTCAAATGAAGTGGCCAGGACACCTTACAGTTCTGCTAATCTCAAACAACAACAAACCACATACCTGAGGATACTTCCTTGCTGGCTTAAAACCAGTAGACTTCTGTACAGTCTTATACCACCAAGGGGCCCACAAGCCATCTATTGGTTTTGGACCTGCTTCCCACCTGGCAGGCTTATGTGTCAATCTATGATGCATGCATATAAAGTGACAGTAGCAGGAGAATAGTTATAAACATATGCAGGAATATTAAATTGTCATTGAAAGAAAGGCATAGCACAAATTTACAAGATAAGATAACTTTCCTTAGAGAAGTTCTACATACTTCAACATGTCAGGTTGGAAAGGAATGTCCAAATCATCACAAAGACCACGCAGCGTAGCCTTCAAAGCAACAAAATTATTATACACATGTGCAGCATAGGTAAAAATTAAGATCTCTACATATATTTGGCTCACTTTATAATGGAAAACATGTGAAATCAAAATAGTAAAAGAAGATTCTCATTCATTAAAAATTAAAAAAAAATCCTTGGAAAGAAAATTGTCTAGAAGAATGGTGGTTGACCAGCACAGAAGAACAGCAATTTTTTCCACTAGTGACGAGCTAAGCATTGCTAGCAATCTAACACCACAATATTCAGGCTAGAATTCATAAAAACCCTTGAACTTCTAATCTATGTGAAGATAATCCTCCTAACCATCAGAAAATGAAAATGAAGCCTCCAAAACCTGATATTATGTGCACCCAACTCCTTGTTGTTAATGAATTCGTTACGGAAGTGAGAACATTAATGGGTTATTTGCACATGACTCAAAATTTAAAGAGTTATCTACACAATGGAGTTTTGGGGTCCCATTTAATCAAACTCTTCCATACAAAAATTGGATGTTTGAGGGCTCCATCATCTAATTTTAATTGCACATGGCCTAGAATGTTGTGCATTCTAGTCTAAAATTAAACTATAAAAACCATTAATCGGATAGAGTACAATGAATTTTAACATCATTCACACAAGTGAAAACTGATTATGATTGCAGTTATACAAAAGGATTCATTAATTTAAATTGATTTGACAATAAAACTAGAGAACAGTCTAAATATTGAAACTAAGAAATTATAGACCAATGGCTACCATGAAATCTTATTCACGCTGTCATGCATTCTTTAATGATAACAATTGCGCATGCTCATAGAGCTTGAGTACCTCAGGATCTTCTTGAAGTTCTGCAGCATCAATGACAGGTGGTGGTTTTCCCCTTTCACGAAGATCATTGTATATACAAACAAGTTCTGCCAAACCCAACTCAAAAAATGATGGAGGCACAACTTTGTCAAAGGATGGCTGGACACACAATAAGGCCAATCATACAAGAAAAATCAGTCAGTGACGGCGGATAATTATGTAAGCCTACAAACATTACTAAGACACATACTTTTAATATCTCTTAAACATCATTTAAACTTGAAGCTCATGTTTGGTACTAGCCAGCAATATGCTGCACTAGCTTGTGGATTTAGAGATAAACAAGAAATAAATGAAAAATATTTTTTAAAAAATACATCTTACCAAAATGTCAAGAGGATTTCTTATCAGAATAAAGTGCTTTCCTTTGTTCAGCAGATCATCTGTCAAGCCTTGTACCCGTTGCTTTGCAATATGCTGGAGGCATCAAGTAGGGGTAAAACTTGGAGATAGGTTAGCGATGGAATTATTTGTCGACCATTATAGTCTTTCTGAAGAACTATTCAATAGGCAAATTCACATTCAAAGAAACAGATACAAAGATAAGAACTTTTATAATGTAGAGTAATTTAATGTTTTAGTCCTTGAACTACTCAGAGGATTTAATATGAAGAGCCAGCATGATAGGTTACTCTTCCCGGGACTGAATCATTAACTTACGCTACCATATGAAGTAAAGCTAGAGAAGATCCTAGACATGATTAAAATGGGTATATATGGTCCTCACAAAAGATATACTGAACCAAGAATATGAGTTTCAGCTACTTAATACAGAACACTCGAGATTTAGATAACTAGTCTAATAAATTACTTCCATAATAACTAACAACTCCAAACCAGCCAAAATAATTGTCCAAGAAACTGCTCCACTTCTGTATCTATAATTAAGTGTTCTTTGCTAATTGCTTGTCTTGAAAGAGTTCTTTACCTTACAGTATTTATACTTCCTGCTTCCTGGACCATAAATGATGTTCTTTATAACTTTATTTCCATCAGATTCCTGTTACAATCGGAACATCAACATTTCAGTGAAAAGCGCAAGCCGAGCAGGAACACATGAATTTTAGGATTAATTATGCAGATATTTCTTCAGTAATAAAAAGAGTGAGCCTGACAAATTATGAAAATCAAATTCCTCTTTATTACAGAAAATTAACAATTAAATCAGCTCCATGTTGAACCACATTGGCCCTATGAATGCTCTTCAAACAATAAACCATAAGAGAATCATCTTAATTCTTTTAATCAAGCGTTCGGAGATGAGGAGGAAAAAATATGATAAAAAAATTGCAGACGTACCATTTTGGACAATAGCTCTTCCCCGTAAGGTCTGTTGAGACCTGTTACTCTTAGGAAATTTGCATAAAGGGGCTCATCAAGCACTTCCATATCATCCCTCTAAATCATGATATGACAGCCAGATAAGCACTGAATCAAAAAGCTAGGAAGCTCCAAGTTTTTATCAGCTTATAAGCAAGGCAAAAAATACGGAAAGTTTTATGTTTGGACTTTGGACCCAAAAGAACAGAGCTGTAAATCTTTTTTTCTGGAAATCAGATGAAGCAACTAGAGTAGCTGCTTAAGGATGAATTCCTACTGCATCAGTATTTATTTACCGCTGAATGGGCAGTCAAAAGAGGGACTGATGCCAATGCATCATAAACGTAACTTGGGTTTAAGAAAATCATGTATACAGCTCAGTGCCAATACTAATTATATATTACGCTTTCTATTCGAACGGTTTTCAGAGAGCAAAACTCATTCTTAAAAAAAGTTCGTTATTTTCCCCTCCAAATGTTCAACAGCAACGTCCTAGCAATAACTAGGAGAACGATCCATCACTAAGTCAGCAAAATAACAATTCTCATTGGAATCATATACCGCACCAGATTAACAACCACAAGTCTATTTAGTCTTCTCAACGAATCCACAAATTTCCAGTTGCCACATGCTGATTTCAATGAAAGAAAATAACCCATGACCAAACCTTGGCAAGCCAAGCACGGACTAAGTGATGCTGTGAAGAGTTACAAATACCCAAAATAGACCAGTCTCAAATAAGCAAATAACGCATCTACACTGCAACTAGCAAAGAGAAGACAGGTTAAAAAGCAGAAAAAGAAAGTTACCTGAGCAAAGAGTACATGAGACTAGTACTGAGCGACCTTGGAGCAGACCACGAGTGAATCACCTCCGATGGATGTTCATTTTCCGCCATCTTCTTGCCGATGGTCTTCACTCACTCTCTGATATGAGATGGGTTACGGTGACGATCGAGACTGAACCAGAAAGGTAAGCTGATGGGGAGTAGATAGAAGCATGACAGTCTGCTGACGTGTGCATACAAATCAAATCAATTACGCATCCGTCAGAGCAGCGAAATGAAGGAAAGATTAGGACAAAGGGCGTGTCCACGTGGATCCACTCCACATCTCGTTACAGGGAATCCGACAAGAGTAGATTCACATGTATAATTTAAGAGGGAACCCCGATGTCCTGTGTGATTACAACAGTCAAGGAAGGGAGAAGACATCGGGAAAGTTTTTGTCTCCAGTCTCCGCTCGACCCTTTTTTTTTGGATTACTCCATCCGGTATCCAAGAAAAATAGATGTCTTTCAGTCGTTACAACGTCTCCAGACTAATCTGGATTCGGGGGCTTGCAAGGATCCATACGAACAGCGCTCCTTAACCCCTTGGAGTGTTGCGTTCCCACATCTCGAACTCGAAATCCGTAGTTAAGATAGGATGACTCCAGTTAGTCGACCTAACCCGCAGGGTTAGTCTCCGCTCGACCGTTTTAATTCTGCGTTAGGCACTTGCATGCAGTTTGGCGGTCAACTCAACACGCTGCTTCTCGTTACGTTTTATTTCCTTATTTCACTTTGACCAGCATTCCTCATTACGTTTGGTACATCAGCTTGATTAGTAAGAAGTCATACCACATTTGAGAAATCGAGAGTGAAACAAAGAACCAACTGTGCTAGTTAGCATGAAGCTATTTTTTCACATCGCTTTGAATTTTTTTAAGATGCTGTCCAGTGGCGATATAATTTTATTTCCTGAATAATTATTCTTCTTAACTATTCCGTTAAATAGAATCATTTTAATTGTTTCATTATGGTCTTCTTCTTTGGTATTTATTTGTATATTGAACCGATGTTGACGAAGCCTTCCTCGTATATAAATAAACCAACCGTCACTCCCGCTTCATTCGCTTGAGAGGGATCCGGTCCGACGACTACGGAGAATAAAACTGAACGCTCAGGTTCAGCCAATAAGTATGGCATGGAAGTGGTCGACCGAGAAGTGAATCCCATGCGGATGATTAGCAAGAGCCTTGTGTGCATTCGGCACGTTTCAAGGGAACAGGGTTCCTTTTTGCAAGGGGTGCTTGTGTTTCATATATACATATACATATATATATATATGTATATGTATATTTATGTATGTTTATGTCAAGTCTAAAAAATTACTAGGAGTATATTTTATGGTGATTAAATTTCTGTCACGCTGATCTTAAAAAAATATATTATCACTATTTACAATTTAGAGAGTATTTAGATAAATACCAAATCATGATTTTTAAAAAGGTTTTACAGTATGCAAAATAAATATTTGGAAGGGTTTACCTCAATTTCCAAAAAGATACTTTTTAAAAACACTTTTTTAATTACCCAAATACCTTCTTATAGTTACCGGAACTTAATATTAATTTTAATATCAGAATTTTGGGTGTACACAAATTACTATAAAATAAAAACTTTAAGGAAAAAAATTTAGGATTAATACAAACGGTTAATTCTTCAACTTTATCCTCATCTTGGTTTTGATTTCTCAAGTTTTAAATTTTAGTTCCTCAAGTTTTTTTCCATTTGAAACATTAACCTTTATAATCCAATCAAAACTTAAATCATTTTATTCCTTCAAAGATCAAAGTCTATAATTTGAAACTCAAAAAGCTAAAACCTAAATGAGAATAAATTTAAAAGACCATTCTATCCACAACTGCCCGACTGAAAAGACACGGCACCATGAAATGAGGCTTTACACTTTTTAGTTACCTAACCTCAAACCAAATAATAATTAAAAGATTAAAGTGCATCCAACATCCAAAATATTTTTCTAAGTACATCTAATACCTAAAGTATTTTATAGTGCATATAGTATTTAACATATTTTTTTAGATGTATTCAACACCCTGAAAAATACTTTATAGTAACTCATATACATTTATTTAATAGACCTTTTAAAGAGTTAACGACGATGAAATAATACTTCAAAAGCATAACTTTAGAACACACCATAAAATACTTTAGAAAACTAAACACACCTAAAATACTTCAGGATGTTAAATACAGCTTCATTCTTAATTAAAATACACCAGAATCGGACATCCCAGAAATTTGGGCAGCTAAAATACATGCAAGAGCAATAGTAATGATGTTATACAAAGCCTGATTCTACGGACTGTAAGTAATCCGTAACAGTCTAATGGTAGCTTGGTTGTATGAATGCATGTAAGGGAGAAGATTTACTGGCTTCAGCGTATCAGTTAAGTCCGCGATATCAAGTTTGGTCTGATCCGCCAGAGAAAGAAAATAGTTAAACGTTTCAACATTGCGTATAGCACAAGCTATATAAGCCGTCGGAGCCTCCTTCGGCCCCTCACCACCACCATCATTATCAGTTACCGTTCCTGCAACGGCAGGTCCGTCACCATGATCTTCGCAATTACGTTGATTCGTATAATGAAGTTCGTCGTTTTCATAATTATTGTTCGGCGCAACACCCTCACAGCTAGCAACCCGTCCGCAAGAACATGATTTCGGGTGGCTCAACAAAATGCTAATAACTCGAACAAGATGTGGAAGACAATCCGGATCATAAATCACGTCTGCACCCAAACTGAAACAACAACAGTAACGATACGATAAGAATGGCATTTTAACAACTATAAGTTTAGCATCCCGGCACCTGCAACACTCACACAATGTCCGGCATGGCATCTTGGAGCTGACTTTCTGAAGCAGATTCCCATGGGAGATACATGCACTTTACCTGAGATAGGTGAAAAGATTCAGATCATGCAACTGCAGAGCCTTGATACGCATGATTCAGTTCTCCAAGAATAAATTTATTACTTTTAACAGTGTCTTTGAGCGAATGGGATTAGAACAAAAGACAATGAAAATGGAACCATTCCCCTTCTTGAGTTTCAACATCATAGGAAGCAAACATCGAAAGAAGGAAAGACGCTAAATTTTGTTACCTCTCAAACTGGAGGGGAGCACCAGCCGTTTACTACTATTGGACGTTTCTATTTAAATTTCCTAATCTAATCACCATCTTCCATCCCCATTTTAGATTCAATTTCCCTTTAGATCTATTGCACTGTCGAACATGTTCGCTCTTTGAGTAACTTCAACTCCATTTCTTCCCACAAAGTTAAGCGTGAATAATTATCTCCAGATTTAAATTTTTATATGAAATTCTATAACATTCATACATTGGTATGTTACTGGTCAGAATATGCTATGACCAGAGGAAACCGAATAAACTCATGTAATCAATCTGATATATATATATATATATATAGAGAGAGAGAGAGAGAGAGAGAGAGCATGTTAGGATCCAATGAGCAGTAATACTCACCATGTTAAGGTTTTTGTTTCTTTCTGCCATTTTAAGTTCCACGTTCAAGTGGTTTAACTCCAAATTGGACTTCATGTTAGCTAAAGTTGACAAGTCACCATCACTCAATATCACCTGTCGATACACACTTCATTAGGACTTTATGCTGATTGGAATTGAAACTTGGCAAGTATTATCACCCAACAGCCAATGCTACCCATATAAAATCCTTGACAATTTTTCCTTGTCTAAAATAAATTACTAAAATTTAAGAATAGAAATTCCATTGATTGAAGCTATCACGGAATTTTAGTTTTCTTTAAGCATACCTTAGACGCTTTCACATGAGCAAGACACATCCCAACTAAGCCAACCCCTGAACCAATCTGTCTCAAATGTTAGCCATGTGTAACAAAGTAGAATATAATAAGATTAGCCAAAATATCCTGATGCAACATATGAAATGATATGAAGTTATATACAGAACGTGAAAATCCAACCAAAGCGAAAATTTGTCTCCTTAGGCAATCTCAAAAGGAGATAATAATTATATTTTCACATTCATGAACTATATATGATTAGTTAATATTAGCTGTTAGGTCATTGCTACAATAGTCAAGAAACTTTTGAATATAAAACTGACCTCAAAACAAGATTTATTATAAAATAATTCAGGATAAGAAAGTATTAACTCAGACAAAAATAGACTTGATGGCCATATTGAGCACCTGCAATACCAAAACAATTAAAAAGTTTAATAAAACCTCTGTCTGACACATACAAGAAAATTCCCAGCCAAAAGAAAAAAGAAAAAAAGGATACAGACAAAAAATTCAGAAGGCATAAGGAATCTGGGGAAAGAAAAGTTAGAAGTGCAAAAGGGGGGAGGGGCAAACAACCATTTTAAACAAGTGACTTCAGAAAGGTTCAGTCAGAAAGCCATATTGGTCATTGGGATTTAAAGATGAAAAAATATTAACAAGGAACGTAATAAACAAAAATACACATACACACAAGGAAAGGAGGAAATACACCCATTCTAAACCAAATCACTCTCAATACCAAAGAATAACTGACAGAAACAAAATCACTAGTTTGATGCCGCATAATTAAAAATATTAAGGATGAAGCTTACCCGGTATCACCTTCAAGCATATTTAAAGAACATTGCAATGGAAATATCAGGACCCTTGAGCGCGGGCAACTTTGTAGTTGAGAATAACCTAGTGAATAGCGACCCCAATTACCAACCAAAGATAGATTGAATGACATAAAATCATAATAATGCATAATCAGCGTGGATTATCTTTTATTTACCATCAGGAAAAAGAAATGAGATTCTTTTCTGGATTTTTGCATCGCTTTTGACCATACTATTGTCCTAACCGAATAAACAAATAGATAATTATATCACCAAAAACGTCTAAATAGACACAGATAATATACAAACCTAAACTGGCTCCCACAGGAAAAAATGAAAATAAATCTAAAATTCCCAACAATAGAAAAGCACATGGCCTAAAGACACTGCTTGAATATTACACCTTTATTGATGTCATGTAGTGAGCATACAATTCGTATAAGTTATCCAATACACTGCCATGCTCCGATTCAACTTCAATGATAAGTTTCTTTAAAGAGTTCTTCAAGTATGGAGCATGAAATCCAGCCTGCATTGATCACTCACCCCATTCAATCTTTACATTTAACAAAGGTACCAAAAAAAAGGGTGTAGCATACAGCGTGACAATGGAAACGTATAGTGATCAGTTTTCCAGGGTAAAAATAGAAACACCCCCCCCCCCCCGGGGCCCCCGGGGGGGGGGTCAAAGGGTGAGAGCATTGGAAATTTACCATCTGGTGAACTAAACCCCTTTTATGCACAGGAGAACTGATGAGTTGAGAACTTACAGCTTTGCTCAGGCAGTGATCCCAGATGAATTCTTGCACTTGCTCTGTGATTAAGCCTCCACCACATACCCTGCAATCACTGACAATATGTTACTCATTCCAATTCGCTAAAAGCGAAAGCATGTGAAAGTAATCTGTATCTACCTGGCATGGGAGATCAAGGAGTCAGAAGGTTCCATGGCCAGGAAAGCAGAAACCAGACGGACGGCAGAATCATCCAACCCGCGCCCCTCCATGGCCGGACCACAACGCCGCCCTGCAAGTTTACCGCCCCGTGCCCGCGACAATAATTTTCTAGCAATGGTGCTCCCCGAGATTCCGGCGTTTGGGAATTTAGCACGATATCACTTCACCAAAGTTAGGCCCAGGCCTCATGGAGTCATGGGGATGGATAATGAAAAAGGAGACCTCGGTCAAATTTTTTATTGGCAAACAAATTGCAGAGGATATTTTTGGACATTTTTTTAATCAGATTCTCTTTTAATAAAAAATCAGTTATATTAGTATTTATTGTTTTATTATTATTTTCTCTTCAAATTATTTTCAGTTTTTATTGTTTACGTTATCTTAAATAATTGTCTCTTTGTAACGCATGAGGAAAAGTTAATTTCTTTTTCTTTTTTTTTAAACAAGTCATATTATCCTTCTCACAATGATGCCCCAAAAAAATGTAGCTCCAGCGAAAATCACATCATCCTATTAAGCATGGCTCGAGTTTGCCAGCCCCTCAACGCGTCTCCTTCCCTCTTGGGAGGAATTCTAAAGTAATCTGAAAGCGTAACGTGACGTGCTCTATATTGTGCACATAACAAAGTCTACTTGTTTTATATTCTGTGCAGAATTCTATTTTTGGCCAAAACAAATTAGTGAAAAATTTCTATTTTAAATTTTTATCGACTATAAAGACATGAAATGCATAATTATTAATTACCATCGTCATAAGACAGCTTTCCTGTGTATTTGTCTTGCAACTGACAGATATAAATGATCAAATACCATACATCACAATACAAAATCTAGAAAACTAAATCCTATAGTGCACCAATGTGTGAAAGTCACACCGACACCGTTATTGACTTGAAAATAGTGTGACTTTATATAAATTTTATTTCTGTATGAACAAATGTGTCTGCTGGGAGTAGGGCGGGGAATAGATGCATATAACGACGCTCAATTGATACATGCGCAGAGCAGCTGAAACAAACTAAGTAGCTGCATTGTCTGGAGCTGGGGGAGCGTCCGGCGGTTCATTAGAATCGGAAGAAGGAGAAACAGGAACAAATGGAACAAAACCCCTCCCACCAAATATTGGCCTCATATATTTATCGTCAAATTTCCTCCAAAAGTAGTGAACCGTTGACGTGGGATTACTTATCAGTAAACTTAGGCTGCCTCTCCTCCGGCCTGGCTGATTATTGCCCTGGTCACTGGGACCAACATTTTCAAGGAGTAAGAATCTGAAATCCTCCGTATTTTCAGTGGACTCAGAAATCGCTGGTTTTGAATGCCTCAGCTGCACCGCCTGAATCAAGGGCTTTGTTATGGAACCAAACACCTTCATTTGCAATGGGAGGTTTCACGTCAATACAATCTACATTTGATCATGCCTTGATGCGGTTCATATAATTTACAGAAGAGGAAACCCACCATAGTACTGAATAATACGACGGTTATGGTGGAGGTGATCACCACTGCACTTTCTTGAGCTGACAATCTCGCCTTTTCAAACTGCAATTCCAAGTAGCCAAAATAAATGCCTGTCTTATAGGGGGAACTTAAAAACATGTCTTTAAAAAGAATGAACTTGGCATGACATCTACTAACCTGGTAATAGCACAAGGCAATAGTCACTGCACCTCTCAATAAGCCTGCCCACCATATTATAAACTGACATTTTTGAACATTTAATCAGGAATCAAATGAGGTCAACTGACCTAACAACACTGAGAACTAATGAGTTTGAAGTCCCGAATTATCACCTGCGATCGGAACTTGATTTTGGAACTTTCTTGTCTCTCGATGCAGTTTTTAATGTTTGAAATAGGAAACACAAAAGCTGCCCTACCAATCAACACTAACGCCAAGAAAGCTGAACTAACAGCAATTGAAGTCCCCAAGCTGTTCGTATAACATGGGAATATGACAATTTAGAGAACTTATAGTGCACCACTGGTTTGTGAACTCAATCAATGGTTACATAAAAACGTAATCCAGAACAACCAATTTAATCAAAAGCCACGTTGATTCCATCTAACACAATGGACCAACTCTTAATTAACTTATCCTCTAGGCAGAGGGAAAGTAATGCAGACAATCTGTTATTTCCCGTGCTTGGCTGGTTTTTGCACAAGTCAATATCTACAAAATAGGAAGCTCTTAGATACCTTGCGTTGCTGGTTTTCCATTTTTCAAGATTCAAGGCATCCATGCCAACATATAGAAATATAAAAGTTTCGGCGATGAATGAGAGAGTTGCAAAAGCATGCCTGCGATCAAGAAAGTAGTTCCATGAGGTGCATTCTAACTAAAACCATCCCTTTTCTTTTTCCTTTTCTAATTCTAATATGTCAAAATAAAGTTTGAAATATTCACCAGAACATGAAGAAAAAGGAAATAAGAGAAGAACAAGATGTAATAGAATGAAACGATTTTTCATTAAACTTAGCAACCAAATTTCTAATACGACCCTTTCCTTCATAACTGATTAACGATTAACACTAGTATCAGCATGCCCTAACCAAAGGGAGTTACAGATAATTTCCTTACTTGGTAGTTATCCTCGAGCTTTCTGTAACGTTGTGCCACGTGTAGTGTGACATGACAATGCCACAAAAGAAGATTGTCAAAATCCCACTGAGACTCAAAAGCTGCAAAAGCCAGAACTGTTTATAGCTTAGAATTATAAGCCAAATATTAATCAAAGAGAGGCCAAAAAAAAAAAAGAATTTGATAAGACCCAACTCCCTACCACCACTAGAACATATGAAGAGGGGCACAGGGGAGTGGCAAAAAGGCAGAAAATGGGGATCTATTGGTCCAATGAAAACATAATGTTTAGAAGTCAGATAAAGCAGAAGATAGAGCATCAAAATAAGGGAGTCATGATGAATGGATGGATGTCAGTGGGGTATATAAAATAGAAGGGCAGGGAAGGTTTGGGGAGGAGAGGGAAATTATGAGTCAAGCTTAGGCTTCAGGTGGAAAGCCAATCCCCTCGAAAGACTGGCATGTATGTTGTTTAGAAATTTTATAGTGTCTGAGTCTGCACCTTTTCTTATGTGTTACGTACTATGTTAGTAATCTGATACTGTGTTTGTTATCCTTCCTTTATTAGTGTCATTTGCTTCCGTAACAGGAATATCTAAGTGGGTTGTGTATAATTGTTCTGCATATCAGTATGCACTGTATCTGGAAGTAATGCATTAGAGCTTTTATTTTTATTTTCTGGTGTAAAGCTGTACTTTGTTTATCCGAGGGAGATCAACTGGAAGCATTTGTTAAGGGTTCTGTAAGAATTATAAAGCAAATGATTTCACTGTCATGCTCTCAGCTGCCGCCATTCAGTAGGGAAAACCTCTCTCTATAATCCTATAGCACTTATGCCAGTAAACTCTAATTTTGCATCTCTACTGTTATTGTTTTCTTACATGCATAAATTCAATTCAGTACTGCCACTCCCTATGGCAGATCGTGATGATGGAAAGATATAATTAGAGTACGTATGAAGAATTTTTACATAACCTAAACACCTAAAATACTTCATTTTCTCTTCAAAGACAAGATTTTATAAGCATATTTTCATGGTGGAGATGGTTAAGGTACCTCAGCAATCATGTATGATAAATAAGCCATAAGCATCATGAGTGCGACTTCACGATCTGTAGAATGCCTGTTAATAAAAGGAAATGTGTCAAATAGCATAAAGTCCATCAGGCTTACAATTCATATTTAATACGCTAATTAGGGTCCTTGCTTGAGCCAATGATAAATCTAAACAAGCATTTCATAAAATCAGCTTGCTCTTACTTGCCGGTGTTTTCTGTTGTCTTTTGATATTGAAAGTAAATATCTTAACATGATTTTGCATTCTTTCAAAGCGGAATGAGTGCGGAGATCAAATTCCATTGCCATATGCTAGTGCTGTTTACATTACAATTATACAGTGAAAAAGGGAGGACAAAACTAAAGAAATCCGTATGTTATGACTTTTTATCCTAACTGAGCCCATTGTATGGCCAATCGTTTTCCTTGAACTTCCAAGTTCACTCCAAATCGAACAACAATAGAAAAGTTTATAATAAAAAAAGTATTATACATCCTACCAGATTTAGGAAGGCAAGAAATTGTTTATTTCAGTTGCAAGGGACGCTAAGAAGCATTTGAGGGATATACAACTGGGACCTATATGTTTCAACTTTTTTTAATAAATCATTTTTTGTTTTTTTGTTTTCAAAAATAAGTAATTAAAATATAGAAAAATTCATATTTCTAATTATTTTGTGAAACTATTTTGAATAACTTATGATTATTTTAAAAAGCACTTTCAAACAAAAATAATTTTTAGGGTTAATACCATCTTTAGTCCCTGAAATTTGATCTCATTTTGGTTTTAGTCCTTGGAATTTGAAATCATGGTTCTGGTTCTTGAAATTTGATTTCATGTTGGTTTTGATCCTTGAAATTCAAAACAAGTAGTTTTGGTTTCTGAAATTTAGCCTCATTTTGGATTTGGTCCTTCAAGCAAGGACCAAACTTCTTAAACCAGATCAAACTGAAGTCAAATTTCAGGGACCAAAACCATTAGTTTAAAATTTCAAGGACCAAAACCAAAATCAAATCAAATTTCAGATATTAAAACTATTGGTTTCAAATTTCAGAGATTAAAACCAAAATAAGATCAAATTTCAAGGATTAAAGATGGGGATTAACCCTAGTTTTTTTAATTGTAACCAAACAAAAATGACTTCTGCTTTTCATAAAATCTCTAAACAATCAATCACATTTTCAGCTAATTTGAAAATCACTTATTTTAAGCTTAAACAAAATATGTCCTTAATAGCTGAACAGTTAAATGTACTTGTGTAAGGTTATACATGCAGATTTATACAGAAGCAACATGAATATTCATACCTTCCAAAGTAAAGTGTTTTAATAGTAAAAGCACTCAAAAGGCCAACCTGAAAAAATCACGATATAGGTCAGAAAAGAAATGGAACTCCTCTTCCAAAGACTA